TGGATGTTTCCTTCTTCAAAACATAGAACTCACATCTGTGAGTTCATGTACGTGGCTAATGGACTGCTTAGAAAAATAGGACATAGCCAGGGAACAGCTGCACTAAGCAACTTGCTCCCCTAGAGAAATTTCAAATGTTATAGAGAAAAAGTTATCCACAGCAAATGCTGTTTCCTACTCCCTGCATGGTCTGTGTCTTTCTATCCCTCCACTCACAAAGCTCCACAGCATTTTCCTGATTAAGCAGTGCCAGCAGGGCTGCCAGCTTGATTGAGTTCATATGGAAAAGGAGCCAGAGCGAAAACCTGTGCAGAATGACCCTTTCAGCATTGACCTGGCATCTGAAGAATGACTTTCCCATACCGTGTTGTATCTTGTATTTTAGTGGTCTTCATCTTGGCCAAAATGGTCCCAGTTTCTCTTCACTTTGCATTATGAAATGGGAATAGGGTAATACTTCCTAAAAAACTTGTGTAGTCGGGAAATAATTGTTTTTATTTGTTCTTTTTTACATAGTTGAAGAATATATTGATCATTAGAATTCAGAGAAAACCTCACTGAGTTTTTAACATGGAGCTAAATCTAAATAAAATTCCTGGTTTCTGTGAGTTGCAACTTGCACTTGTTTTTTTCCCCTTCTAAAAATAAAGTAACAATATTTATCAGAAACATTTATGCCATTGAGGAATCCAGAGAAATGCAGGAAATGCAGTATGAACACATAACATATGTACTAATACTTTATTTGTCTTTATGTGAGTGGATTTGATGGCCAAAAAGGAAGAGGCCCCAAGGGCTCCTTAGTATGCAATTAATATTTTGGCTAGAAAAGCAGCAGATTGTTTCAGTATGCTTACATGTTATGACATCATATTCCAGTAAAATTATAATGAACAGAATTTTTGTTTGTCTCTGTGGCAAACCAAAATGAGTTTTCTAATTGTCAACAGACCTTGGTGATTTATTTAATTATAGTGGCGCCCGCTCACACCAACTTAGTTAAGGTCTGTCAGCATTTCTGTTATGAACCCCTATTTTTAGGGGTTTATAACTAGTTGTAAATATTTACTCACTGCTGAAACTTGGCATTCAAGGTCACGGTCATGGAGCAAATACCCTTTTTCATTTTGACTATTCTAAAGTGATACCAGTGGCATTAGCTAAAAAGTAGATTACCGATACTCTGAAACTTGGAGGGAATAAAGGGAACCTGCTTTCCAGACCTCCTATTCGAGGAATCTTCTTAAGAATCACAAATGTCCAGAAGAGCCAGATGAAAATGAGCTTGTTTTTAGAGGTTATATTGTGTATTATCCTTTATCACACTTTGTTTTCTTGAATTGAATGTATCATTTCACACGTCCTTTTGTTGTCCTCTAGCCTTATAATCCTCTGTCATTTGGCTGTATTTGTCAGCTTATGTTCTGAGGAGTGTGCCAGTATCACTTGAGAATCGCTTTTACATAAGAATTTTCTCCAAGGAAAATCCTAGCCTTCGTAGCTACCATGTAGAAGGCAGGGAGATGCATATTTTTTAAATGAAGGTAATTTAAAAACTTTTAGAAGCCTAATGAGTCTGTAGGTGATGCGTTGCTGTTTGAAATTCTGACTGTTTCAGTTCTGTGGCTGAACAGAGTGACAGAGGACTGAGGAGTGTAGGACTGACACGTGATTGAAAATATTGTGCTGATATGTTATTGCATAATAATCAAAAATTCTAGATAAACATTCAGAAGATGGTAAATTATTTCAACCCTTTGTAGTAACTCATATATAATATATTGGGAAGGTTTGTTAATGATCAGTGGCAGATACATAATTTTATCTTCGCATAGGCTTGTTCTTTACATGAGTGTACATCTTTAGGATGCAGAATCATTCATTATGAAAAGTAAGTTTAATTGTCACACTGTACTTTCAGACTCTAATATTATGATTAATTTGAGGCTTTTGTTAATACAGTCTCTATCCTCATCACTGAAAAGAGGATGTTGTTTCTGTTTGACATGCTCTCCGTTGTAGAGAAGCCAATATCCTCGCAGATATAGTCCCTTTTCTGAGGATTTCAGGTGCTCCTTTGCACTTTCCTGGCAATGTTCATATTATCAGTGCTCTGTTGACTCTGCTTGAGGCCAAGCAGAGCAAGAAAAGTTTAATCAAAACCATGTAAAAGCCTAATCATTCTGCCAATGTCAAAGAGCTGCCGAGGCTCTAGAGCCATGGGCTGAATATAATTTTTCCATATTATCACATAAATAGCTCCCTAAACACTCTTTAAAAGAAAAGGTAGGAAGGGGGGAGGGAAAAAGCAAAGGCCTGTTGTGGGATTTGAGTTTATAAGGTGGATTAAGTTCACGTGCTTTCCTCCTTTGCATGCAATGGAGGGAAAGGTAGGCCTAGTAACTCAACAGGAAACAGGATATTGTATTTTCCGATGGATATTGTATTTTCCCTAAATATATATAGTTGCTAACAGCACTACTATATTTCTTTTTGTTTAAAGAAGATTGTGAAGTAATGAGGTAGGACATGCTATCAAGATGTCTACTGCTTTTGCATAATATGGCTTGTCCTATACTAAGCTGCATAACACATGCAGCCATTTCCAGGCTCTAGTTCTACATCTTCTGAGATCTTCTGGGATGGTGAGAGGATTTCTGGGAACTCTTCAAGGAACTTGAGGGTGCCTGTTGCTGCAGGGAAAGGATAGCTACTGGAGGCTGTGCCTTTTAGCAAGATTCAGCAGCTGCCAGTAAGCTGTCAGCTAGTCCTGATCAAAAGCTACATTGAGCTTTCCTTCCAGTTGTTTCCTGATTAGAGAGGGTCAAGCACCCTCTCAGCAGGTACTACAGAGAAGCACATATAAGTGCAGGGCCTAGAACACCATTCCCAGAGACAACCAGCAGATGCAGCAGTTTGCACAGCAGTTCATGCAGAAGGAAGTCAGAAACTGCTGAGGATGGTGCGTGTGTGCTCAGCAGTGGTGGTGATGTACTACATGACACGGTTCCTAGCACCATCTGGAGCAACTCTCCTTGGTGCATCAAAGACCTTGAGTCAGAACTAGCTGCAGAGCTGTTGCTAGGATTCATTGTGGACACCAATGGTGCTGTAAGGGGACATGCATAAGTAAGCATGACAAGAGAGATCAGGTTTTTACAACTGTGGCAACTTCTTTGAGGATCGATGCTTGTAAGAGATGGGATCCACCTGACCGAGTGGGGCAAACATCTTTATCAACAGGTTGGCTAATCTGGTCAATAGAGCCTTAAGGTGACAGAGAGTGGAGTTAACCTATAACCAAGCAAGAAGTGATGGATCAAGTTAGTAGGCAAAAACTTAAGGGTGATGTTGGCAAGAGAGACCCTAAAACCAACTAAACAGGACTGAAGCGTCCCACTCCAATTGTATACACACAAGTAATTAAGGACCTACAGCATGATAGGGGAGATCCTTATACCCTATATCCTTTTTCATTTGAAAAACTGACATTCTTTTTGAGGTAAATCTCAGTCTGAAGCCGCTGTACTTTTTTATTGTATATTTTGTCATATTGGTAGTGTCTTGATATTGTGTTTGCTTTTAGAAGAAGAGGGAGGAAAGGGGTGAATGCTCTATGTCAGAAGCAAAGAAGGACACAGTGGAGTGGGACAGAAGTTGACATTGTTGAACTGTCTGTTTCTTTGGCTTGACAGCTGCTTAGTTAACTAATGGCACCATGGTGTTTGAATTCCATTAGGCATGTAGAACCTTTGTAATTGTTTTCCAGAAAGAGTGGTCAAACACTGGAAGGTCGTCCAGAGATGTTGTGGAATCTTCATCCTTGAGGATATCCACAATATCCTGGACAATGCCTGAATAAGGCAGGGTAATTTCAGAGCTTGACCATGCTCTGGGTGCTGCATTGGACCAGATGATGTCCGGAAGCCTTTCCAACCTGAGTTATTCTATAATTTTGTGAAAATGCTACATAAGCAAAAGCATTTCCAGGCCTTAATAATTCCCTATAAGTGTGTTAAACTGTAAACAAGAAATCAAAGTAAATACCCACTTTTTGCATGTCATAAAGGCAATTTAGCTCACTCCTCCAAGGCCCTATAGCCAGAGGCTTGTTGGAGCCAGTGTTATGGTTTTGCTCTTTCCACATAAACGTATTTTTAGAATTAGGCACAAAGTTCAAGGACACTGAGACCGGTGTGCTTGTTTGCAGTTGTTTGGTTTTGAAGTGTGCTGCTCTCTGGTAAACTTTTTGTTTTACAGTTGAAATAAATGGGTTACAATTATTAATGAAAATTCAGGAAGTCTTCATACCAAAAAATCACCATCCATGTCCGGAGATGAAAGTAGAGAGAACACATTTTAAAAAGGATCCCTTAAGAGGAATGAGAAAAATGTAGTACTTTGTTTAAATGAATCTAGTACTGTGTTTGAGTGAATCTAGTTTTGTTGTAATGGACCTTACTTTTGGCCATGCTTTTGGAATCCTGGGCTTTTTTACATTGCTGTAAAATATGGACAGGTTATTTGTCAAATGAGGACCCATTTCTGCTACGTATATTCTCTGCCACCTGCCTTTTGTTGCCCCTTAGAGCTGAGCTATACTGACAAGTTTCACGTGAGCGACCTCACAATCCTTCTTCCTCTGTGCCACTTGTCTGTGGGACAGAAGTAGTCTCCCAGGCGTGGCTTCCACTGGAATTTTTGGTTCCCCTTAGGTTTTCATCTTCCCAAGACTCAAACCAAGAAGAGAGCAGAGCTGGGCTGTTGGGCTGATAGATAGTAGAGCTCACAAGTGTAGGTGAGGAGATGGTTTGTATGTAGGAGCTGCTCTCAGAGTTACCAACTGCCTTGCTGAGGTGCAGTCCGTGTGTTTGGCTACTGGGTCTTATTCTGTGAGAAAAGATAATGTTTTATCTGCAAGTACTACTCTATATTATATTAAATGGTTGGCTAAAATTCCTAAATTGTATTGTTGTTTTCTCTTTGTGACTTTTTTCCAGGTATCATTGCCCAGTGCCTAAAATTTTCTATGTCCAGTTAACTGTTGGCAACAGCGAGTTTTTTGGTGAAGGAAAGACTCGTCAAGCTGCTAGACATAATGCTGCAATGAAGGCTCTTCAAGCTCTCCAGAATGAACCTATTCCAGAAAAATTACCTCAGGTTTGTATTTCAGAAAACTGTTCCTAATCTTCACGTGAAGATACCAAATTGAATAATTTCATTGCCAGTTTTTCAATGTTTTTTTTTAGTATTTTTTTCATATTAGCCTCAGTAATTAGAGAAGTAATACTAAATTACTCATTTCTTAATAAAGGCACACCTAACATAGCACTAGACTTAAATAACAAAAAATAAGTAGACATTTTAAAAATAGGATTGTCAACAGTGATTAAGTAAAAAATAAAATCAAAATAAAATGAAATATTTGAAATTATACCAAAAGTGGAGAAAATGTCCATTTAATCAGTGACTTTATGGAGAATGAATTATTAACCTTAAATATGTGTTGTGCCATTAATGCAATTTTTACAGTTGAAATTACTTGTCCCCAATGTACTTAAGAACCCGATGGAGCTCATTGGCAGTTATTGATCACCTGGTTATAGGCTTTTAGTCACCTTTTTAAATAATTGGCTTTCTCACTGCTACATTTATAAGTGGTGTATATTGCTGCTTAAAAATTAAAACATTGTGTCATATTTTAAAAAATATTTAACAGAAAAATTATTCTCAGAATAATCTTTGTAAATTGAAAGGACAAATATAATAATATTTCCCAGTCAAAGAAGCCAAATACTTGCAAGACCTCTGGGAGAACTGTGAGTTTCTGGTGCAGCAGTTGACGACCACTTGAGATCCTGTAGAATCTCAATAGCAAGTGTCCTTTGGTAGGAGGCTAAATCAAGTCCTCAGTCAGGAAAACCTCTGTGGCTTGGTTATGCTGAGGGGAAGGTGGGCTGGTTGCAGGTGAATCATGAAAAAACATCTCTGACACTTCATGGTTTAGAGTTGGGGGTGACTGGAGGTAACAAGCTGAGGTAACTCTCTGCCTAGATCATGATGGAGGGATTACAGAGCATTGCATCATGTGGAGCTGAGTGTAGCTCTCCAGAGAACGGGGAGCTGGTTGAAATAGAATTTAAGGGCTTTGTGGTGACAAGGTTCAGGCTTCTCCCTGCTGCTGCTCACGTGAAATGCACACAGGGCTGCTCTGCAGTGGTGGTATGTGCCCTCACCACGGACCGTGGTCCAGCTCAGTAAAACCTTCAGCAAAACTGACCGTCTTGAGTCACCTTTGGAAGATGATTGATTCGTCATTCCTCGAACATTGTGCATGGATCAGAACCAGTACACATCAGATTCTGACTGGCCTTGATTACATTATGAGATTGAGCTTCTTTCTTCCCCAGTCACTGCCACTGTGCTCCCAAGGAGAGGAGAGAGGGGAGCAAGGACAGACCTGCTCCTACCCATCTGGTAATCCCATTAGTAACTCAGTGAATTTGACTAGAATGGGATCTATGGAAATACACAGGTTTATCTTTCGGCTTTCATAGCCATGTTTACTTAATGCAGACTTCTGTATATTCTTCTTTCGTTTCAAGGTACCCTTTTTTTCCTTTCTTTAAAAAAACTTATTTAAGGATAAAATCTTTTATCCATATTAAACCACTGAAGAGGAATACTGCTGTCTTAATACTTCATTGCACAAACATGTAGAAGAGCGTAAGGTGAGCAGAAACAAGAAGCAATCAACCAACAGGGCAGGGTTGCAGCGAATGTGAACCTGCTTTCACAAAAGAGCTATTGTGTGTCTGCCAAAGCACCTCTGCTGTCTCATAGATGTGAGGCTAAGAAAGGCCTTACAATTAAAGTGTCAGTTGTGGAATGAGGATCAAATTTAAATCCAAAGTGCCTGAGGCACTCCTGAACGTATTTCATCATCCTTAGGGAAGTCATATGTCTAAGGCTTGAAACGTTATTGCTCAATACTAAGATCTAAGCCTTAAAGTCTTGATCCTCTCTTTTCTCCACTTACAGTTAAGTTCTCTACTGTATTTGGTGGAAAAATATGCAAGGAGTTAAATTTTAAGGGCAGGAGGGACAATAAGGTATTTTCTGGACAGATGTGTTTGTATTAATCATGAAATTTTAAACAGTAATTTCTAGTTTAAACTATACATATCTGGTTAAGCTAGAGTACAGCCAGAAAACCTAAATATTCTTGACTTGGAGGCTTGCTGACAGTCCAGTGGGCATTATATTATTTTATGTAAATTATGCCAGTTTTGATTATTCCCCGTTTCAAAGATAATTTGTGAGGTGTCTCTTCTAGAATACACCTAGCTTCATTTTCTATTTAATTTGTATTTTCTTTGCTAAATATAACAAACGGGTATCAAAAATCTCTCCCTCATGTATATTTACAAATTATGCTTAAGTAATTTTGAATCCTTTTATAGAACTGATTGTTTTCATACTATGTCAGTGCAAGGTTGTTTTTTCTAATCAGTAGTTCATCCTTATGTCTTCTTTTTGTCAGCTTTTTTGATTATCAATGTCCTTTATAAAGTACAAAACTTAATTGAATACAATACCAAGTAATATTCTCACTAAGGCTTTTAACAGAATAATAGTACCCCATTCTTTATATCTCCAAAATATATTTTCCCCTTTAAATATTGTCCTTTTAATTCTGTTGATCTTTCTCAGTGAACCTAATCAATGCTTTGCTGGTCCTATAAGTAATGACCTACATTCATGATTTCAGTGTATGAAATGAGCTAGAGGTGCTGCATAACTTCATTCTAACTACCTTTGTTATTGTTTTTCACTGCACCCTTTGTTTTCAGCAGGTTCTATAAACTTTATAATTTTTTTGTTTTGCATTTAGCTCCAGATCAATGTCAGGGATGTAAATGACTGTTTTCAGACTCAAAAGTTTAATGAGACAAAAAGTGCTCCACGTCTGCATGCTGTAACTTGAGTGCTGGATTTTTGGTCCTGCATTGTCTTAAGGATTAATACATTAAGAGTTAATGAATGATAGATAAAAGATTGATAAGTTTCATTTTAATGTGAAGAACCTCTAGTGCTTTTTTAATGGTGTTTTATAATTCTGGTATCTGCATTTTTGTAGCTATGCTAGTGGCTGATGATTTAGATCAGACTTTGTTATGTAAGACGGGAGCTCTGCAGGAATCCACCTAATTCAGCCCAAGTGTCTTTGAAGTTTACCTCCACTAATAAAAAATTAGGAGCCTGGCCAAGGTTACATGGTTGTTGAGAGATCCCAGTTTGAAGCATTCAGAGCTTTGCAGTTTGAAAGTAGCTGAAAGTGAAACCTCTGAGAACTAAGGAAATGCAGCCTGGGGGACAAACACCAAAAGGCAGTGGTTGCAAAAGGCTGACTGATCCCTATGCTGGTTGTTGTCTGAGAAAATTAATATTTCCTGAAGTGTAAAGCAAAGCTGAATTTTAGGCAGGATAATGTTTGCATGTGCCTTTTGTTTTTTTATCTCTTAGCCTCTCTGTTTGTTATGTTCCTACGGATAAATAAATAATGTTCTGTGTTGAGCAAGCTGTTCTCTGTCACTACCTTTTCACACTGGTCATAACTCCTAGAGGGAAGTTGATGGGAGGGGCCATTAACCAGCTGGACCTGCTGAGGACACCTGTAACCTGGTGACCTAGTCCAAGTGTGGGACTGATTCACTGAATTTCTTCTGAGAGAAATGCTGTCTTCTGTACTTTCCAAGAAGTACAGATTTCTTCCTTGCTTAGAAAGGGTACCCACAGAGCGACTGAGAAACAGATCGAAGGATGTGTTTGATCGTCATGTTTGACACAAGAAGTGTGTATTCAGATAATTGTTGTCCATGTCATCAATAAGACTAAAATCCAGAGTTGTTATTTTGCCATCTATAATTAATGAAAAATTAATGTATATGTGTTCCTTTGTTATGAAGCATAAGCACATTATATATGGCTTCACAGTCAGCAGGTGTCTGATAATGGGGTGCTGAGATAGATGTACAAGCGCTGATTTACATCCTGGCAGGAGAATTCAAAAGTCTTTGAGAAATTGGGGGAGAAGGATAATATATTGTTTTTATCTTTTAAGAATTGTGATATGATTATGTATGCATCATTTTCAGAATGGAGAAACAGGAAAAGAATCAGAAGAAGATAAAGATGCAAACAAGTCTGAGATCAGTGTAGTGTTTGAAATCGCTTTGAAGCGCAATATACCTGTCAGTTTTGAGGTATGTGTTACATTTTTATCTGTTTACTAAAGAAGTATTAAAACAAAGTGTCATTACAACTGCAGACAGTTAATAATAGTAATACACTATGAAAATGACTTTAATGTTCATGCAGACAAATTAAAAATTGTTAGTGTATCAGAGTCTAAGACACTGATTTTTTTACTATTAAAATAGATGCTCTTTCAGAACTCTTAGAGACCTAATACTTGTTTGCAAACAAGTGGATGGCAGAAAGACAGTTAAATCGTCTTCTGTATAGGGCTGTGGGATTAGAATTGATAGCCACACTCAGTCTTATGTGAAATAATCTTCAAAACAGTTACCCAAAGTTTTTGCTTTAACTATAGTCACTCATGGACTAGAAAAGTTCCCACTGAAACATTTTGCCTCTGATGTGCTGTTTTCAGAAAGTCATGAGTATTTTTGTATTCCACTCTGTTTGACTTCGTATCTATCTCTGCTTAAACCTTCATGATTTTTTTTGTTTGTTTCATATGATTTTATCTATGAACCTGCTTCTGACACCTTTGTTTATCTTAAGTAATAAAGAATATTTGGAATAGCTCCAATGCTATCAGTTAAGTAAGTACGGAAGAATGAGTGATACTAAATTTTTCCGATGAGAAAAATTTTTCTGATGAGAAAGTTCTTACAAAAGCTTGTTGTAAAATTCTAATGTTGTGGTAGGACACACCAGATTTCCAAGGTGGGGTTTTTTTGGTTTTTTTGGTTTTTTTTTTTTAATGCAGAAAATGTTAATATAAGTGGCTTTTTAATGTTTGATTTTCTGCTTTTTGTTTTACATTTAAACTGAGTATGTATGAAAGACGTGGATAGTGCTTATATTGGTGATGGTTATTTTCTCCCGTGCTTTTTCCTTTTAAAGTATAGGCATGTATTTGCATATGAAAAAAAACAAAAAAAACTAAGCTGTGGCATGCCTTACAGTGTGCTGTATGCAGCTTACTGACGTGTTTGGCCCATGTCCCTGAATTGGCCAACATCAAATGAGCTATTTGGACCTTCTTAGAAATCTGAGAAATCTCTCATAACGTGGGTCAGAGAGCCAAAGACAAGGAATACTATTTGTGACTAAGGAATTCCTTGGCATAACAAAAGTGTTTGTGCTTCATATATATGGTCTGTGTGATACATGCTAGTTAGAAAGTTAAGAGAATGTAAAATCTAGAGGATGAAACTGGGGTGTTGGGGCGTGTTGGAGTATCAGTTTGCCACTACATGCCAAGAACCTTACTCTTATATAAGACAGGAATAATGGAAACACATGCCTGTGTCTCAAAAAGGAAGCTTATAATTAGAGTTTCAGTTTTCACACATTGTTTTCTACCTTAAATATTTAAAAGTGTTTGGAATAGTTCCATATGAATCAACGCACTAAAATACAAGATGTATGGTCACTGGTGACAGAGTAGCTTGGAGGGTGGAAAGAAAAGAGGGATAGTGCTTTGAATGTCTTCTGAACTTCATTCCTGTTTCAGCTTACTTAGGGGAGAGCATTTGGTAAGGAGAAAATGAAGGCAGAGATACTTAGTACAGGAAAAGTCTAATGTGTCACTTGCCAAAGAATGTTAGCAACATTGAAAAAAGACAGTTTCTTGCTCTCCTGACAGGTTTTGTGTTATTTCCTGCCTTTAAATCTAAGTAAAGGTGACAGTCTTAAATAGAGTTTTGATTGAACTTGGTTCTGGCTTATTTTTCAACAAAACTACTAAGCAATTATGGGTAATCCCCAGGATCTGATGTTTCTAATAGGATTTTATTTACAAATGGTCTTGTGTTATTCCAGGCAGGCATCAAAGCTTTTTCTAGCTTTTATTTTGTGTGCAGTAGCTATAAAATAATCTGTCTTTTCTTCATCTGACAAAGCTTTAGCCAATGTTCCAACAGTGCTGTGTTATGTAATGAAGTAATCATCATAAATATATGTAAAGTTCTATGTAAGCATGCCCTCAGAATTGCATGAGGGATGGACAATCCTGTTTCATGTAATATGGCTAGTTTTAGTTGCCTAGGAACTTTAGGATGAGTTTTAAGGAGTTTATATCTATTAAATTGTTAACTAAAAGAGAAACATTGAATTCTAACAAAGAACAAGCTTTACTCCATACTTTTCACTGGCACATCCTTAGCTAACCTTGATTCATCAGCTTTTAAGTCAAAATGCAACTGCTGTAAGGCATTTGTGGGGTTCTCAATGAACAGTTTTTAAGAAGGAATACAGAAGTGATTGCTGTAGGAATTGTTAAGAGTACCTGTAGAATGGTCATTTCGCTTATTATTCCTTCTCTAGCAGTAGGCTAAAGTCTTGCATTTTTCAGTTATTTTGCAAGATATATTTTTTTTTATTTCTTATTTGTTAGTAAGGAGTTGGTGATCCTAGAAAACATAATGGAGGTCAACAGCTTCATATTAGAACATGTTGGGGTGTTTCAGATTGTCATATTATTTTCAGTATTTTCTTTGGATTGTAATGTTATTTCTTTAGAATAGCAAATACAATAATATATTTTTTTTCATTGTCAGTATCAGGAGTGAAGGCATAGAGTGCCTGAACAGGCAGATTTTCTGCCCCTCCATCCCTGACCAGTGGTCTGCTGGGAAAAAGAGATACAGTTGCTTATATCCCACTCTTATCAAAGTAAGACAGACATTCTTTATTTTGAACCAGCAACAGTCCAAATTGCTGACTCTGGGAGACTGGTTCTCAGCAGGAAGTCTCACACCTATCTGGCTTCTGCTCTCGGATTAAGGCTTTGGATGATTGACTACTGAGTAGCTCTTAATTGGGTTTTGGGTTTTGCATGATGGTCACCCTTTCTCACTGCAGTTTTACACCCAGACATCCAGGTGTTGGGTTTTTTTTAACTGAGAAAATCTGGTATGTCTGGCCACACAAGCACCTGGAAATGTATTGGTATTTTAAAACTTTTAAATAATCACGGATACATGGATGTAGGTGACATGGGTTTGTTGATCCGATTTTTGTCTCCTCTATTTCTTGGGGTTTCTTTAATGTCCATTTAATCTTGTTGTAATCCTCTGAATTTTCTACCTGGAGTCTCATTAATAATTGAAGCAGCATTACTCTTTCACTGTAATCGTACCGCTGTTTTACATTTGTCAGCATGATTCATTAAGTTGAGCCAAATTCATTCTTGATGTAATTTGACCTTAGATGTGTTTTCGCCCCATGTGTTTTCTCTTGCTGTAATTATTCTTTAAATCCATGGAACAGAAAAAGAAAAGTGTATTGAACTGTCACCCTTAATCAAATTCTCAGCTTTAAATTAACCATGATTTGGTCCACAGGTCGTATCTTTCAACTGAGGAAATAGTTTAATGTCCTAACGCATATAGTGTTCTTGGATAGCAAAGGTTGAATTTCTTTCTAGTGTTTTCTGTCCCAAGGCTCATAGCACAACTGTTTGAAATCATGTGGAGTAAAAAGATCTGGGGTTAACCAAAAGTATTGTTAGGTAAATATTTTTTTGCTTAATTACCACATTTGGATGTTTAGCTTGATCCAGATCCCATCTGAATCCTATGGGATTCATTCCATTGACAACACAGACTTTTTTCCATTTACACACTAACAAAGAAACAGTTTTTAATGTTTTCCAGTCAATTATTTACCTTGTGTCACATACTTAAAACTTAAAAGATTAAAAACACACCAGAATGCATTAGTTTTATATTAAGAAATATATTTTTGTGTATATGAAAGTGTAATCTGGTTTTGTATTAACATTCTTGCTCTCATATATATGTGTGCATTTATATATATATATATGAGAAAACTTGTATAAAACTAATATTTTAGGAACTCAGTAATTATATTTCTTAAGCAACTTATTTTGTCCTTTTTCATCTGGTCAGTGTAGACATTCTTGTATATTTTATTAATACATTATATTGCATGACTCCCTGAAATAACATCTCAGCCTTGGCCATATTGATCACCATAACTGGTCTGCTCTGGCCTCCAATCGGGAGGCCTGGAGACACACCATCTATAACGCAGCTGTCTCCTCTGAGAACACACGCAGGATCACTCTCGAGGAGAAAAGACAATGCAGAAAGAATCATGTCTTGCAGAATATACCATCTAAGGAGTCTTTCTGCTGTGCCTTTTGCAATCGGACGTGTCTGTCTCGTATTGGCCTTTTTAGCCACCAGCGTGCCTGTAACAAATGTGGATAGAGCCTTTCCCAAATCTTCGTTCACGAAGCCTAACCATGATGATGATATATTGAGAAACACCTATATAATGGTATTAGTAGAACCACAAAAAGATTAAGGATCTTAGTAAGGTTAATTTAGCCATGACATTTTTACAGACAGCATGGTGTAATACTTGGATAGCAATGTACAGGGATGGATTAAGATATGTCTGTAAAACAGAGTGGGAAACGCTGCAGTGCAATGAAGGTGTTCAGCTGTGTCTGAGAGCAGGAGAGCCTGGAACTGGGCTCATCCCAGCTCTGGTGCATGCAGCGCAGCATCCCGTGGCTCAGTGTGGGTCAGTGCCTTAAAAGCACTGCTGCCTTCTCTCATGGTGAAGCACTAGTGGGCAACTTTCAAGTGAGGCAATCTTGAAAACACTTCTGAAATTATTACCTGGAGTCTCAGAGTGGGAACATTCCTGGACTACAACAGAAAAATCCCATGCTGGCATAGATGTCATCATATTCTGGGAAAATGTGGACAAAGTTGTCCGTTAATTTTCGTTTTATGTCTTTTTATAGATATATGCAATGGTATGTATTTGCTGAAGTTGCCACAAAAGAGAGCTTAAAAAAGAAATACAAGCCTTAGGAGACCTCATTACAGTGCAACAGCAAAACTAAATAATGCAAGGGACACGACCTTGATAAAAAGAACTTTAATACAAAACATGTTGTAATAATATTAAGATTGAAGGTTTCAGCACATGAAAACTATAGTTATTACACCAAGAAGGCCCTTGCACCTTTACCTCAATTCCCTTGCACTCAAGCATTACTCTTCTTCAACAAATGGTTTGATATAATTCCATCTACTGAAAAAAATTGGTATTTATATTGATTTTGAAGGTATTATGAAGAGATGCCTGTCAGATATTCTAATTGTCTCCTTATACATATTACATATAACAAAGATTAAATTAGGTAGCTGCTTCCGCCCATCAAACAAAAATAACTGAACCTTTTCCCAAATGAGGTCTCTAATTCCTGATAGACATTGTCCAGACCAGTAAACGGTGCATACATGAAGAGATGGCTATCCTAGCACTTGCAGTGCTGTGATTTGTGGATGAGTGCATCCTTACAGTATAGCCTTCTAAAAGGAGATGAATGCGTGTGTGTGTGTGTGTGTGTGTGTGAGAAAGTGAAGACAGAAAAAGAGCCAAAGGAAGGTACAGCTTTCATTAATTTCTTTCTACCCTGTAGTAGTGGAGAAGTACTTCTTCACATGGGTTTTCTCACTGTCATCCTGAATCTGTTCGGAAGGGAGTGAATAAATAAATTTTTTTCAGAAATGATTGGCTTTTGTGTGAGTTATGGTAGCTCTTTTGGTAATTTCTTTTGGTACTGCTGGAAGGGACAGCTGAAATCATGGAGGCAAAACTGTGTCAACCCTTCGAATATATGGGATATCGCTCTGAGTTGTGTACTCTGGCAAGGTAAGAGTAGAGAGCAGGCATGCTACCTGCAACTAGGACAGCATAAAAATATGAATCTTTGAGACTGAAGTTTGGAACTGTGAACATCTTATGTTTCAATGATAATAGAAAAAAAATGAGCAGGTTGAAATAAGGTGCCATATAAATACAGTTTTGAATATGTTTTATGTAAAGAAATAACCAAAACCTGGTAGACCTTCATGGATTTAATTTCTTTAGTGTGTGAAGCACCTTGCAAGGGAAAAAACCAGCAGCCTTGGTTTAAATATGAATTATTGTTGTATATTGTGTTATTCTATAAATATTTTAAAAAATATAGATCTATGGTATTTTCTGTGAAACACTGAATATAGTGGTTAGGTTTGCTTTATCTAACTAGTCTTAATTTTCTGTCCTCAAATCTTATACTGTCATTAAAACTTGTCCAAGTTTTGTGAAAACCCATCTAATACCTTCAGTTAGCAGGAAAACTGCATTAGTACTAAGTTCATTGCAGAGATTCAAACATTAAGTTATCTTCTTGTAGGGTGATTTGACTCAATTTCTCTTAAAAGGTGATTAAAGAAAGTGGACCTCCGCACATGAAGAGCTTTGTTACACGAGTTACAGTAGGAGAATTCACTGCAGAAGGAGAAGGCAACAGTAAGAAACTCTCAAAGAAACGCGCTGCAATGGCTGTCCTACAAGAACTTAAGAAACTTCCTCCTCTTCCTGTGATTGAAAAGCCAAAACTTTACTTTAAAAAGCGTCCAAAAACAATATTGAAGGTATGTGTCCACTTTTGACAGAATTAAGGATGTTTGCTCACAAAGAGTCAGATTTAAAATCAATAAAGGCTTATTTGTCATTTTCTGTCTACATTGTTACAGTTACTTGTTAGTGTCAATATTGTTTGCCCGTGCTAATATGCCTTTTTTTTAAGTCCTGAGAATGCTGTGGAATTTTCAAACATAATGGCTTGTAAATAGCTCACATAATTGAAGTCTTCAAGGGTTTGGATCAAGTCTAAGTAGAGGATCAAGCCCTCCAAGCAGCTCTGTACAGCCATGTGAAGTTTTAGCATCATCTCCTCTGGGAGGCCCTACTCGCATATGTAGTGGCTCTCTCCCTGGGCTTTCCCCCCTCCCCAGTTTGACAAGGGAGAGAGATACATGAAATAGTAAATACAGGGGTACTACTTTAGTGCTTCAGTACTTACTTTACTGGAAGTATGACCCTTAGGAATCTGTATAGTGAGTGTACCAAGTAGGTACAGAGTTCTGAAGGAGCAACCACCAGAAAAGCCCTTTAATATAAGCAAATACTTTGGAGATTGCAACACTGGGTTTGGAAAATGTACAGAGGACTTATTTATTACCTTCCTCTTTTCATTTGCCTTCAAAACAGAGTCAATGATTTTTTCAAGAAAACCTACTTTAATTAGATACCTATCTCCTACTAAGATTCTGGGGGGTCTAACTCAAAAACGTTTAGGAAAAAATTGACAGGAAAATTATTTGGTGGAAAACCATCAGCATTAATGCAGCTTTAAAGCTGGCAGATCTGAAAAGGCTTTTGGTTTGGCTTTCTCATTTTGGAAAGTTTTTCTCAAGAAAGGTGCTAAGGGTATAATAATGTAAGAATCCCTCACATTACCATATACCACTTACCATTATGAACTTAAATTTAGTTAGCCAAAGTTGGCCTTGTTAGAAAGAGACACTAATTGTCAAAATAAGCTGAATGTGTAGAAGGTTTTTATTTTTCGAATATCCAGACTTCTGAAATGCTTTCAGAGTGCTCATTTCTTTCAATTTAACCTAGAAGTGTTTTACGCATCAAAGAAGTGGCAACGAAAACTTCTTTTTATTTGTATATATATTTATGAAGCTGTATCTTATGGCTGGCTCTTTATTTAGCCTGCTCTGCATTTTGTCTCTGCCTGGCTTCTTGCCCACACAGCTGCCCTTGTGTATGACATTGTCTTAGCTCTTTCACCTACATCTTCTCTAACTACTTCAGCAGTTACACTACAAGGATTTGCTGCACAGCTTTCTAAATATAATATCCCTCTCTAATCTTTGCCTTCAGTTGCTGATAATGTCTTCAGGTTCTGGAACACTGCTTGTTATTTGAGAAGCTCAAGGAAGCATGAGTGCTCATCTTCTCATAGCTGACAAATGGTTTCATAAAAAGGAAATAACTCAATAACATAAAAACAATTCTACATTCAAATGCCATTTACATTTGTGAGTTCTTTCTTTGTGTTATGGTATATAAATCAGTTAAATATTACTTCAGCTAAATTTTTGTGAGTCTTAATTTCTTCTTCCTAAGATCTACAAACAAATATTTTCATAGCTATTTCCTTTGAGAGAGCATTTGCCATGTGAGCAATAACTCATTAAAAGAATTCCAGAACCAGAGAGTTTGTAATGATTGTAGTTTTTCACTTTTCTCTGTAATCTTGGACAGACGACTTTGTCAGTTTTTTTGTTTTTCCCCCATCAGATCAATTCCCTCACCAACCATACATTTTGACATGTTATTGTGAGGATTATTGTCTGTTAAGCATTTGAAATACTTTGTCAGTGGTTCACAACATGCAACATTTCTAGCCATTCACTTTATAAAAGTATTTTGAGGCTAAACTCACATGACACACAGAGTAAACCTTCTGCACCTTTAGTTGCACTGTAGTATGGAAGGCAGGGGTGCTAAGAAGGAAAGCAGGAAGGCTGAGAGAGGAAACTTCCTTATTATATATGATAAATCTTTTTTGATCTCTTGTAAATCTCATCTCTTCTTAGTGTAATGCACGTTCCAGCATTGTGCAACCTATTTTAAAGGGTTGGGGTGAAGGGTCCTAGAAGTAGGGCAATAAGATATAATTGACTGATGAATCTGCCGATTTTCATCCATCCTCATAAGGACCTCCACAGATAGATGAGGGTATTTGTAGCTTGCAGGTGCCAGGTATGCACACTACCTCCAGCTGTATCAGACCATGTTTTTCCACAGCTTTGAGCCTGAGGATTCTTATCTTTTGTGTCATGATCAGAAAATTATTTACAAATTTACTTCCTATTCTCTCAAAGGGAGTATTAAAGAGATAACCCAAGTAAATGTTTTATTGAAGCAGGGTAGTAATTGTATAATATATACTGAAATAATGGTTCTTTTCTTTAAACCTGGTTTAGACTGGACCAGAATATGGTCAAGGAATGAATCCCATCAGTCGTTTGGCTCAGATCCAACAGGCCAAAAAGGAGAAGGAGCCAGAGTATGTTCTTCTTTCAGAGAGAGGAATGCCTCGCCGTCGAGAGTTTGTTATGCAGGTATCATTTGCTGTCACGTTAGACATAATGGACTTGCTTTGTTTAGTTCAAACTCAAGCAAGATGGTGGCATAATATGAAGTGGATCTTCCTGTGTTTAGCTCTTTGCTTTAAAGTCAGTTATACAAGAGAAGAATGAAATACAGTATCAGAAAGCCTGTCTAAACTTTCTTCTTTGTCTCAGTGAAACAAATGGCCATTTGGTTACGTGCCTTCTAGGCACTTTGCTTGTAGTGGTTTTCCATATTTTTTTTTTTTGCTGGTTTTATCTCTGATGGTTCATGATTTATTTACTTGTCTTTTGGAAAAAAAAACTGGGCTGTTGTTGATCAGAGGACTGCAATAATAACTAGTATTCTGAAGTATGGATATTAATATCTCCATATTACCAAGCATTTTGGTTTTAAAAAATAGTGTTGTAAATATATTCAGATTTTCAGTTTCTTTTTGGCTTTGCTTATATCTGAAATACAACAAAGAAAAGCCTTCTATCACGTGTTTTAGCTGTCCTCTGTCTGGACCTAATACAGAAACAGTAGATCATTAATGTTTCTTTCATATTTAAATTAAGAACATGTACAAAAATTTAATATAACTGTGATATTTTGTTAGATAGCACAACAGCAGATTGAGAAAGATTAGGAACAGGAAAGGATTCTGTGCCTTTGTGTTTTCACTCAACGGTAATTTTGTGCCGGAACAACTCAGAACAGCATACCTCAACATGTTTTGACTTGTTGTCTACAAACCACACCAAAATGTCACTTCTGATCAGAAGCAGAATTTATGATGTTCCAGCACCTCCTTCTCCAGAAAATTAGTTATGTTTTCACTTAAATCTGTAACTTCCTCCTTCATGTCTATGAAGATAGTCTAGCAATCTTAATTTTCTTGAACCTCAGTGGTCTTTCCTGATGATTTATTATTTTTCTCTCTGAAGCAAAAGATGTTGGGTTCTTTTTGTTTCAGAATCCTTTTCATTAATATAATCTTGCATTTACAACTTTTCGTGAAACCTGAAATTATTTGAAAAAGAGCGATTCTATCACAGACCATCTCATTTCCTGTGCTTAAACCCCCATGGGACTGTCCACAGTTAGTGGTTGTTGTGTGAGGCCTCAGAAGAGGACAGTGTAACACAGCCCAGTATTAGAAAAATGGGTTGAGAATTTAGTTTTCTGCTGGAGGAATTCAGATCTTTAATTTGAATTAAAAAAGGGTCTTAAAAGCAGGGAATATGTAGAAGATTCCTTTTATCTAAGAAGGCTTGTGAAAAAAAAGTCAAAGAAATTTCATAGAATAGTTGCTTTGTTATGAATACTTTTAAACTCCATTTTCACCCTTTTGCAGTATTTTCAAACTAAAATCGTACTGCTGCTTCTACTGCCTTCAGGAAGTCTCAGTGGATCCATTATGGCATGCAAAAAACCCTATCAGAATAAAAAACCTTTGTATAAACTACTTAAACAATGTTTTCATTTAATTTAATTGAATGTGGAAGTAAAATATCCAGAGATAATATGTTCATTTTTATCTGTCACACAAAGAGCAAGTTTAGATGTGATGAAATGGATCCAATTACTTGTCCTGGCTACTAGATAAACAGAAGAAAACCTCTGATGACATTAGTTGGTGTTCTGTTCCCAAAGTTAATTTCAGAAAGATCTTTCTCTTTGTAGTCAGACCTTTAATCCTTGATAGAGGTTATAATAATAGCTAAACCAGTTTTACAGGTCTGAGAAATAGCAACACATTGATTTATTGTGAGCTATGTTATAAATTATCATTTTGTCTTGTCCTATTAAAGTCCCTCAATTTTATTGCATATAAACTTGTAGCAGATTGGCTATTTTCTAATTGTTATTGTGAACTGCATAGAAGATAAGGTTTATATTTCAAGATTATTAATATTCCTGGCTTCGGTAGCTGAAACTTTTTGCTTAATTATATATTTATACGTTAAAGGAATAGTCATTATTATTATTATTTTCATCCTTTTCTTGATATTTAGAATTAATAAGTATTTGAGTAAATAAGAATTTAAACTTTTAGGAAAAAATATATATATATGATAATTTGAGGAAAGTGAAGCATTATTTAATAACATAAACTATTAAATAACATTTATTATTTATTTAACATTAGTATGCCTGGTTTTGCATTTTTTTTAAAGCTCCTTCCAGGCTGTTTTGGGTCTTTGACCTCTGAGGTTTCTTTTGTTCAGATCACCTTGGCTGTTATATTATTTTTATTTTATTTTGATTTCCTTTTTTTTGACACGCTTTTGAAACTGTGCACTATTTTAAGAGACAATTTGGCAAATAAAAGGGCTTAATGGACAGAGTAAAATATACCTATCAAAGAGCTATGAATATTGCATAAATGGATACTAGTGACAGTGCTAGTGTCACAAACCAGACCCATACAGCTCCAGAAGTTTTAAAAATGGTACCCAAGCCAAGGACTAAGTTAGAACCGCACACTTTGTGGCTATCCATTGTCTACAATTTGTCCTTATTTTAAGGCTTTAATTTCTCCTCATTTTATGAAAGGCATCGTGTTTCTCAGAAACCCCTTGTGCTGTACAGACCACAGGTCCAACGAGGAGCCTTCTTTCCAAAGACTGTTTTGATCAAAGCTAATCAGGTGTAAGTGGTCCCAGCCCCCATCTTCCTTGCAAGTGTGACCAAGTGGGAGGAATGCAAATATGGTTTTCATCTTTCCTTAGAAACCACTCTCATTTAAATCTCCAGGTCACTGTATGTCTCTCCATTGTTCTGGATACTGTCCTGATGATGCTGGGGAGCTGCAGCTCCTACAAGAAAGAGGAAGTACAGACGCTGTGGCACTTCCAGTGTTAAGAAAGAGTGGGGGAGAAGTTCATTAGGCATAATGGGGTTGACACAAGAGGCTAGTGGAAGAGAGAGGCAACTACATGAGCACTGAGATACAGAAAAATACGGCTCTTTGATATGAGTTTGGGAACCTTCTGAAAAATCTAAACAAGCTCCTCTGTGTGAACTAATACTGTAGTCCCACATTGCACTACTTTTACTCTTTCAAGATTGCATCTTCATCAGAAGAACTGACAGCAGTTGATAGATCAGGTGTATTACATGGTGATATTAAGGAATCTTGTATTTGTCATGATTATGATCAATATTTTCTTTTTAAGGTAAAAGTAGGCAATGATATTACTACTGGAACAGGCCCAAACAAGAAAATAGCTAAAAGAAATGCAGCAGAAGCAATGTTGCTACAGCTGGGTTACAAAGCCTCTACTCCTCTTCAAGACCAGCCAGAAAAGGTGAGAACCAATTGTTACGATGCCCGTATTTTACCCTTGTCTAAAGTTTTAGCCTGTATCAGCTAGTATCACTTAGTAAGAGTGGAAACTTAAGCTTGTGCAACCCCTATTTTAGGGAGTTGCTTGTCACAAATTAGCCTTTGTTTAGCTACAGCTCTATAACCACATCTATTAGTAAGTGCAGCCTCTGCTCCTGTAAGAGTTACTAGGAACAGAAAGGTAGTTCCATCGAAGAGGGTGTGTGGAGAAGTGTACATGTGACGTGTGCATCTATTTCCTCTTACAAATCAAGATGAATGTGCCTCTTGCTTTTATTCCATTTTGGGCATCCGTGAGAGCACTGAAAGGAACTATGTTAGTAATTTTCATACATGAAATAGCCTTAGTAGTCAATGTTTATCTTCCCATTGCATGTGCACTAAAAGCATTCCAGAAAAAGAGTGGCCTTTTCAGATTTGATGACTGATAAAGAAAATGTGTGTCACTTTTTTTTTATGGAGAAGAAATTGCATTTTAAATTCATGTGTTGCAGGTATGTGTTTCCATGTTAACTATGTGTAACTTAGCATTCCTCTCCTGTCTTGTGTTTATTAATAAGATATTTTGTAACCAAAATTGGGTGTTAAAGATTTTGCCTTTTGTATCCTGAAAAGATATTTGGTAAGGTATTCGACTAAGCTGTCACTCTAAGCAACTTCTGTCATATGCAGTCACTGCATGTATATATTTTGATAATTTCTTGCATGTTTATTGTGACTGCACTAGCTAGTTCAGGTCAACAGAATATTCTGATATGTATATATATACATGAAGGTACTCTGTTCTACATGTTCAGTACTTCTAGCCAGGAAAAATAAATGCTGTGCTGGTTACTTGGCCCCACCTCCTTCTGTTTCCCTCTCCTCTGAGAGTAGCAGCAATATGTATGCTGTTCACACTCACCTTCACTATGCTCTTCACTATATGTCTTAGTCATAGACAGGTGTGAAATACTCTAAACAGAGTACTTGGAAACTAAATGATGTTCCTAGTGAGAACACCTTGTGCAGACATAGCCATTTAAAAACAGGGTTCTGATTGAGTCAAATGATAATTCATTTTCACCAGAATGCTGACACTTTTTTGCTGTAGAATATACTTTCTACAGTATAAAAGTTTCAGCTTTTTCTTCACTGCCAATATGGCCAAAGGGCTTTAATGAAAAACAAGAAAAAAACAGAGAAGTCAACTTTTTTTTTTTCCCCTAGTAGGAAAACATAGGCTTTCATTCTTGGATCTCAAATTGAACTAATTTTACTCAGTATTTTCCAGAGATAAAGCCTGAAAAAATTCAGCCCACAACATAGTTGCTTTGGAGAGCTCTACGCAGTGGAAACTTGTGGTTACATTGAAATCCTTAAAAGAAATTGAGGGCTAAAAAGAGATGCTGCTGCTTGGTTTCCCTACAGTTATTAAACTATTACTTACAAGTGCATTACCTTTAGAAAATCAGGTCTGATTACATACTTGCAGATGTATACATTTTAGGATTGGTAGAATAGCATATAGTGGCCTAATACTATTCTCAACACAATGAACAAACATGTTACTGTATCCAAAAAATGTGAACTACTCAAATTTTATGTAGTGACAGTATCATAACAAGATCATAACAAATTTTTATAGCTTTGTTGGGGTTAAGGACATAAAATATCTAGAACATCTGGCTTTATCTTCTGTATATAACAGACTGAACATATTTGGAGATGCACAAGTTAGTTTGTGTAGCTTAAAGCATTCTAATTCTCTAACTAGACTGTGGTGGAGAAGAGGGAAAATAGCCCTTAGATCTCTATCAATTTGAACGCTGAAAAATTCCTTCCATATAAATTGCACAATAAAGTACACCATTAGAATATACTTGTTTCTCTCTTTGAATCCAAAATGGGACCTAGTGTAGATTGGCATCTAAATGGACAATTTCACTTGTGTGCTTTTGGTGATTTTAATCGAAAAGGCAACTTCTTTTTCCTCAGTGTCCCTCCTTCCCTGAGTCTTTTCATTCCATTCTTCCTTTCTTTAAAAAAAAAAAATAGTGGCTGTATTCATTGTTTTAATGAAGACCTAAGAGTGTTACAAGAGCAATGCATGGTGCTGCTGGCAGCACAGGTAATCTAGGTAAAAAAAAAGTAAAGGCTCTGCTATTTTCTGAGCTAGTATTATTCCTGGAGGAAATCAGTAATGTTTGTGCAGAGCCCTGAGGAGAGCAATTTGAAAGTGCACTGGGAGACTTTTTGCAGCTGTCAGAATTTTAGCTCCATGGATAAGAATGGAGAGTTGTTATAATTTTTTCATGTTTCTGTCTTTTTGTTTCTTCTTGGCACTTGTGTTCTCCTAGAGAGAATAAAAACAGAGTAGATTGCATTCATGTGAGGCAGCAGCATTAAGGGTCACTTACTGATAGATGAATTCTTGTTAAATTCCCCATCATGATCAAGTTAATAAACAATAAAAAAGAAGAATGAGGGGAGTTGGATATGTTCTTCTCATGTTGTAGCAGTGCGCTTGTGCTGGTATCGTATCATGGATGGATAGTATGGATTCCTAACACAACCATGCTGTTGTAACAGCAGTAAATGCAAACATACTTATAGATTTCCTGTTGCTTATTCATTTGAAGAACTATTGTCTCCCACATTTTCCAATAGACATATATGCTTCCTAATATGAATAAAACAAGTTATGTGAAATTGAAGTGCATGGAGGTGGGTGACCAGTTTAAAAGCCAGCTATAATACCTGTCCTCCCTTTCCATTATATATCTCCTGTTTTCACTGCACAATGCCAAGGCTCTAAGCACTTTGGATGTACATGATGATGAAAAGCAAGGAAACAATCATTTGAATAGCTGCTTTGCATAGTGTGCTCTTCCCTGCTCTTTCCCAAGGAAAACATATCATCTAGTATTCTTCGTTACAGCATGATAGTAATCTAAACAGCTTTAACACAACTTCTGGGATGCATAGGCAGATTTCTGCTCATTGATCCCCCTTTGCATCTCTTCCACTTTACAACCAACCCCATATTCCAGAGCAAATGATTACAGCTTTGTACAATTTATATGCCAACATGGCATATAGCCTGCTTTGCTGCGAGGTTTTCTGTGTGCATACAAAATCCCAGTGAAATCTGAAAAGGATCATTTGTTTCACATGCATAGAGCTGGTTGTCAAGAGCTCCTAAGTAGTGAGGAAGCTTGGGCTTGTTTATCCACTTCTACAATAAACCTAGAACACTGCCATCTTATTTACTGTGTAGACTTCAGTGACGCCCTCGTTTTGAAACTCTGTTAATTGCTCCCCTATTCCATGTCGGAGTAATACCCAGTATTAAACATAATAAAATTAATTTGAGGACAATTAGCTTCATCAAAAATATATTAAAATAATGGAAAATTGCAACCATTTTTGCTTCCACTTCAACAACTAAATGGATTCCCAGCAAATAAATATTATAAAATTACACCCAAAGTACTTTATAGCATTTATGCATTCCTTTGTAGGCAGTTATTAGGGTCTTCTAGTTTTAGAATGTAATTTCTCTGTTGTCTGTTTGTGTTTTCAGTCGAGAGCTGCTTAAAATATTTAATTTTATTTAGGTCTGATTTGGTAACTTATTTAGATGAGTCTAATCCTTGGGGAAACATTTTTATTTCAGTGTTAGGCAATAGTTGTTAATGTTTATTCATGAAGGGTACATTACTCAAATAACCTTAGACAAAAATTAAGATGTGTTAGCAAAATTTTGCCACTTGGATGTGGCAATCCCAAGTCATCCTTTTTTAGAATCTTCCAACTAAATTTATAAACAGGAATGTTCTGTTTAGGGAGTAGTTTGCTCTTTATTTATTTGTCTTTTTCTACCTGTTTCAGCTTGGAGAAAACAAGAGTTGGAATGGCCAGAATGTTGGGTTTTCTGAGCCAACGAATAACAGTAAGTATTGCTTTCTAAATTTGTATTTATACTTACTTCTCTTGCTCTCTGTAGGATTTGGAGTATTTGAGACAATTGAAATGCTTTTTCTAAATATTTTAGGATTTTTATTGCAATTAGATGAATTAACTCCTGAGTGTCCTCTGTGTGAATGTAGGTATGAATGAGTGCAGGAACAAGGAGATTTTTATTTACTCATCGAACCATTGAATCCTTCAGTTTATAAGGGATTTTAGGAGGTCATCTAAGCTGCCTACTCAAAACATAGTCAGTACAGAGTTCAGACAAGGTTGCTCATGTCTTTTTAGTAGTTCTCCAGGGACAGAGATTCCATAGCTTCTCTGGGCAGCCTGTTCTAATGCTTAACTATATTCACACTGAATTTTTAAATTTTTTTTCTTGTCAGAACATCTCTTTTTGGTTTATGACTATCATCTCCTGTTCTTCTGCTATATATCTCAGTATATATGCCTGGCTCCATCTTTTTGACAATCTCTTCTTAGGTGTTGGAAGGCTGCTACTAGGTCTCTCAAAGCATACCACCATCCAAACAGATTTCCATCATCTAGTAATTTATTTACCCAGACTTTAACATCACAGCTTGGAGACAAGTATGCTGTGGGAGATATATTGTTAACAGTCTGGCTAAAGCCAGGGTAAATCACATCCAATGCTCTTCCTTCCTTCATAAATCCAGTCATTTTATCATACAAGGCAGTCACATTGTGTGACCACAAGTGGCTTTAAGAGGACTATATGATTTTCCCAGGACTAGAGTGTGGCTGACCAGCCTGCCTGTTTTGATGATAATGCCTTTCTCCAGGCATCTGCATGACTTTTTGAAGACAACAGAGAGTGGCCTCACAATGATATAAGCTGGTTGACTCAGCATGCTAAGGTATATCCCATTTGGTCCAATGGATGCACAGGAAGTTCCACCTGAATGAGAGGAAGAACTTCTTTACTGTACAGGTGACCAAGCACTGGAGCAGATTGCCCAGAGAGGTTGTGGAGTCTTCCTCACTGAAGATATACATGAACTATCTGGACACAATCCTGTGCCACGTGCTCTGGGATGACCCTACTTGAGCAGGGAGGTTGGACCAGATGACCCACTGTGGTTCCTTCCAGCCTTACCCATTCTGGGATTCTGCAATTCTGTGATTCTGTGACTTATATGGGCTGAGCTCTATCTTTTCTCAAGGCATTCCTGACTCTGATCAGATTCTACTACTGGTAGTTTCTCTCTTCCTTGAGAGAAGGAAGAGACACAAAGGCCCAAGAAACCTTGTTGGTGAAGACTGAACAGGTAAAGAATAGGATAGAACTTGGTAACTTTATAGCTAGATTTTTACCTTTAAAGTGGCATAGATAATATAAATAGTACTTCCTTCACTTTTTCATGAGCCCTGGATTTTTCTCTAGGACTGTGTATAGTTTTGAACTTAAGAGTCCCAAACATTATCTCCCTCAGCTAAGGATTGTACTAGAGATGGATACATACATGAGCTACCTTCTATTTTTTGCCTATGTACATCTGAAAGACATGGTCCTAAAAGTAGGTTTTAAGGTATTTCAGTATATATGTGGTCTTCCTAGTCACAAGACCGGAGGAATTATTTGTGCCTCAACTTACACAACAGTTTGCTAATATTTAAAGTGATCTTGGATTCACCACATACCATTGCATTTCCCTGAAAGGAAGTATTCTACAAGATCTAAGACTTCTTATTAATTGCTTCCTTACAGCTCTTTCATCAACCTAGATCCATACTTGTAGATGACTTCTGTTTGTCTTGTCAAAATCTGTAAGGCCTGTGAAATATCTTTAAATGTTAATATCTTCAAATGTTAACATATTAGAGTTTGAGACAGCAGAATAAGATCTCTAACTTTTCTCTTCTATACTTGCAGTGTCTTGTAGCAAAGGTATTTATAGATGACACCACAATCATCTGCTACACCAAAGAGAAAAAACAATCCCTTTCTCAGGCTTCATCTGACAAGACAACTTTGACAGTTATATGCGTAAATCCAAATCTAGAAGGAGAACACAAAGGCAAACTCATTCAACAGGAGACAAGATCAACAAAATTATGTTTTAAACCTGTGCTGACCAACTAACTTATTTTTCAGAGATTGACATGCTCACAGAACTTTTTGCAGCCACCACAGGCCACAGTACAGAAAGAGGTTTTCATTCTGGGATGCTTTCATAATGCACAATGCCTGCATTTCCATTCTTCTGATCTAAAAGTAAATTGGAATTCAAAGGAGTTGTAGCTAGCATGTCAGTAAATATAGAGCATTTATTTCTAACGGTGCTGTTCAGAAACCACTGTGCTTAATCTCTTAACCCCTTTCTTGAGAGTTCTAATCTAGAGGCGACATTAATAATAATCAGGTGATTAAAGTGTATCATAGAGTCATAGAACGGTAAGGGGTTGGAATGGACCTTAAAGATCATCTTAAAGTCCCAACCTGCTATGTGCAGGGTTACCTCCCACTAGACCAGATTGCTCAAGGCCTTATCCAACCTGGTTTTGAATACTGTCAGGGTTGGAGCATCCACAGCCTTCCTGGGCAACCCGTTCCAGTGTCTCACTACCCTCACAGTAAAGAATTTCTTCCTGATATCTAACCTATATTTCCCCTCTTTCAATTTGTACCCATGTCCTATCAATACAGTTCCTGACGAAGAGTCCCTCTCCAGCTTCCCTATAGGCCCCCTTCAGATACTGGAAGGTTGCTATGAGGTCTCCAAGCAACCTTTTCTTCCCCAGACTGAACAGCCCCAACTTTCTCAGCCTGTCTTCATAGGGGAGGTGCTCCAGTCCTCTTACTAGCTTCATGGCCCTCCTCTGGACTTGCTCCAGAAGTTCCATGTCCTTCTTGTGTTGGGGACCCCAGAGCTTGATGCAGTAGTCCAGGTGGGATCTCATAAGAGCGGGCTAGAGGGGTAGAATCACTCCCTTGGCCCACTGGCCATGCTGGTTTTGATGAAGCCCAGGACACAGTTGGCTTCCTGGGCTGCGAGCACACACTGCCAACTTGTGTCGAGTTTTTCATCAACTATCACCTCAAGTCTTTCTCCACAGGGCTGTTCTCAACCAGTTCTCTGCCCACCCTGTAGGTGTGCCTGGGATCACCATGACCCAGGTGCAGGACCTTGCACTTTACTGTGTTGAACTTAATGATGTTTGCATGGACCCACATCTCAAGTCTGTCAAGGTCCCTCTGGATGGCATCCCTTCCCTCCAGCGTGTCACACAGCTCAGTGTCGTCAGCAAATTTGCTGAGGGTGCGCTTGATCCCACTGTCCATGTCACCAACAAAGATGTTGAATAGATTATTTCAGTATCATTTATTATTTCAATGAGACTGTACTATCTTCTTGCAAAATAGGAGCAGTTTCAACCCAAAGTGTTGTCAATAGGGATATACTTTTTTTTTCACTGATTTTTTTAACTCTTCACCTCCTGAGAGGCCTTTCTCTTCTAGGGTATTTTCTTTAAAATTTACAGCTTAACTGTAGCAAATATACAGAATATTTTTCTATCTTTTTTAGTTAACCAGTAAGTTCAGTTGATACCTTCCTACTGAATGGCTCTATGAAGAGGCCTATTTTTCAGGATGTGACTGAGGTCAGAGGATTCCTGCATTTGGAGAAGACCTATGCAATACTACTTGACATTTCTCACTAGTTTTCCAGATATGTTTACTTATATAAATGGTGCTAATGTTTTGTATGGGAATGGTCTGCCAGTACATGTTATCGTATGAACACTTTGCCTTCTCTGCTTCTAGTAGAGTATGATGTGTTAGTTTCCCAAATAGGGAATACATAAAAAATCCTGAAGAAGAGCTAGTATTAAGAGTTTTCCCTGTGCACACCCACTGATCTTCCCCTAAGCCCCTGAGACCAAGATAACTTCAGAGCTTTGTGGTCGAGGAGAACTGAGGAAAGTAGAAGTGTCTTCTCATTTTGAATAAAAGAAATCACTTACATGTATGATCTCTCCTGCACCTGTGATGTGCAGGGTTTAAGGCAGTTCCAAACAAGTTCCACGCTTTTGCAGACAGATAGCCTTTCTTTGTATGCATAATGCACTGTTTTCATCTGAGTCAAATAAAACTGGAATAGTAAAGGGAAGTTGTATACTTTAGTACTACAAAATCAAAAATCATAACAGTTCTATATTTTAGTACAGTTGAAGAACAGATTCCATTGCACTGTTATTATGTAGTTTGTTTTTGCTGAGAAATAACCCTACAGTCTGGTTCCTCCTAATTACTCACTCAGTGTATATTTAGTATTCCCTATTAAATATTCTTGAAAATTAACTTCTCCTGCTCCCCTCTATCATGTTACTTTTGCAGTTATCCTTGTGGCAAACCTCACTTCTGTCCCTCCTACTCACCGGCAAAGCTTCTTCCCACAGGTTCACTTTTTTACCTTTCCTCTTCATTTCACAATTTTAAAGAAAGATGAAACATGAATCTATTTGTTTCTTGTTTTGGGATATCTTAGGCATTTTCTACGTGTGAAATGGCAAGAATGTTCACTGAGTTTTTTTCCTGATGCTTCTGGAAGAGACTTTGAGAGACTATGAGCAGACCAGAAGCATTTTTAGCCCATACAGAAGATGTTTACTGTAAACAGAATGCTCATTTATCTCTCTGGATTTGACTTAAGCAGTTATCAACAGAAGCAAAACATGAAACAAATAAACAATCCTAACGCAAAGTGCATTTTCGTGGGAACATATTTTCATTTTATGTTTCTGGATGGGGTAATCACACACATCCTATGGTATGTGTTCTAGAGAAGCTGTAGATGAGCTATGAAGAATAATATAAAAATAAAAGTAAAAATAATGGTGCTTTTTAATATCATATTTATAACAAGGAAAAAAATTACCATAACTGTTTTTATATGTTTCCTACCCTCGATTTTTTATAGTATAGTTTTTCCCTTACCTATTTCCAACAATTTTGGG